CCCCCCACTACTCAAACTAAAATTAATGGTGAAATGATGTCCTGCGTCCTGCGCTTCATGTCCTCGGTCACAAATGTAAACGCAGGACCTGGGAAAAAATCTAGGGCTACCCAAGTAAACCTGATAAATTTCAGAGGGGGACAGGTTCCTCCTTTGAAGTAGCTGACATGTCAATGGACTGGAAATGTCTGGTCTTTAATTTACTGGAGATATAAATAAATCCGGCTTTAGGAAGCATAAAGCTGTAGTTGGTCATTTATAATACATGTCCAAAAGTCCATTCTGTAGTGGACAATGATAGGCTGACCAGCTCTTTATCTACCCATCAACCATATCTGCTCCACGGAGAAAATCTTCACTCATACACAGTATAGTCAGATCTCCGCAACTATTTCTGTAAAGTTATCCTCCAAGTAAACAAACTATATCCCTATCATCTTTTAACTTGAAAATACAAAATATATGTATTTATCAAAAATGTTTCATTTAATTTTCTTAATACATTCTGATAAATGATATTTTGATATTTTCCTCACAAAATTTTGTTATTTTGTTTTAACATGGAAAACTAACAAAGCTTTTTACCTATGTTTTCAGTGTGCTTACAATAAATCTACAGTTCTACATTACCATTGAAAAGAAGAAAGATAAAGGTTTCAGACCAATCAGCTGGTGATAATTATCCCGGGTAAATATCATTTTAGACATTTAAATGTGGCTTTGTTATAGGTGTGACAATCAATGCCGGATAACAATCCAATCAATGAGTAGATTATTTACATCCAACGGTACATTAGGAGATAAAATCCTCACCTCAAGGTGTAACAGTATAGAAAATTTGGTGAGTCTGCTTGACGGTACCAGAGATCTAATGCCCAGAAACCACTACAATGGGTGAAAACATAGGCCTAAATCATACCCCAGCCGTTAAATAAGGCCTAACTGTACATACAATAGTACTAGTCATAGTTTTTGAAAGATAAGTTTTGTTTGCCTCAATGAAAACTTTTTATAAACTAAAAACAGTGTGTTTACCAGATTAAAACTGATAGTTTGGATTTGTTCTACATTGCATAATATATACTTTTCTGACATTAACATTATATAATTGATATGTAGTCTCAAGCTAAGGCAAGTGACTCAATACTCCACTGTACTCTAATATATACAAGTTATTTTAGTAATGAACTTTTTTCTGGTAATTTGCTGAAGGATAAACTTCATCTTAGCATTGGGTATTTATCATGAACCAAAAAAAATCTCTCAGATTCAATATATGTTTCTCAATTTATCTATTTTTTGGTATAATTTGCATTTCAAATTTTTTTTTCTATATTTATAGAGAGATGTATGTGCTGATAATAATATGCATTAGCTGAAACAAAAAAATAAAAGTTAGAGACAGGAAAGGGAGGTGAGGGTAGGTTCAATATATGCATGCCACTTACTGGATAGAGTACCAGCATATTAGGATGCCACTTAACTCAATATGATGGCATGGGTTATCTCCCTTGTCTAAGTATGATTAATGCTATATGTATCTACTACAGATCTATAAACATTCAATATTACTGGGTAATTTACTGGTCTAAACCGAATGATCCAGAGATATAAAGTTTTGAAAGATGTTACCTGAAGCTATTTATATTTTCAATCATATTTTCTAATATCTAGGACTTTTTTCAAGGTTTTAGGAGATCAGGCACCACTTGAATAAGGACTTATTACTAATTCTAAATTTAATGAAATTTTAGTGACAACATCCCAGGCCAGGATCCATAAAACTGTTATGTTCAAACTCAAGCCATCTTTCCTGTTACTGAGTTGTTGTGACAGGGTCGACGTCAAAAATAAACATTTAGTATATGATACTCAGCCTGGCCTTTATTTCTTGTGGTAAAATTAAAAACAAAACATATTCATATGTATGTTAGTTGTTTTTTATATTAGTAATTAGATTTGCCATGAAATCTTTTTCTATGACATCTCCACACCAGACAATCTCCGCTTAAACTGCATCAATAACTGCTAGACTTAAGGATGCATAGGTCAAGGGTCCTACGTCCATCTCCTCCATGAGACTGATGTATTTTACATGAGCAGTTTGTTTCCTCAAGAAAGCAGAGCTAAGGAAACAAATGGCTGACGAGAAAAGCTTGGTGACAGATATATGTAGAAACACCTATTAAAGGTATCACTGGTGACAAATATATATACTTACTGCCAGAGGTTACAATGTACAGCGGGGTAGGGGATAGTTAAAGTAACTTATCATCAATGATGTCGGGACGTCACCTTGGCAGTTAGGTGATCACTGGCTTCAGACGATATATGTTACACCTGTCCATGTCTAACCTTTAGTTCACCCTTATTTACATTAGTTAACTTTATATAGATCACCAAAATACAATCGTTTTGGCCAATTTTTTATAGATCATCAAAATAATGTTATAACAGATCCCAAGTATTGCAGATATCAGATATATTTATGTCACATTTTCGTCCTCAAATAAAAGGCACAAAAGCATATCCTCATTCATTAGGGTTCCTTTTATAGATGCTTTAATGTATTGTAATTAAGATCCTCAAATTAAGCATGAGGAAGCAGTACTAAAGTCAGGTTAACAGTGTGACAGTGTTATATCCACACTTGTCTACTGACAGACCTATTCAAACCCACCTATCATATGACAGGACCCTTATATTTAGATGCTGTTAAATATTAATTAAATGACTAAAGAAATTTACTTATTTTAACATTTTCGTCTGATATCCATTTCTATCATCTATACCTGTTTAAGTAGATTGAGAGAAAAGGAATTGTACAAGTCACACTCAGACATACAGCAGAGCCCAAGAACTTCCCAAGAACTCAAGTAGCCTAAAAATAAACTATAGTGGGTGTTTTTTTCCATCATAATTTTTCAACTGTTTTACACCTAATTATAACCTTTGTCTAATCAAAGAATGTACCAGAAAGTTAAAAATTATTTTATTATCAAATACTAAAAATAAAATTAAAATTTTGAAAATTTGATCAGCACACTATACTTGTTTTTATTTCTGTTAGCTCAATAAAACAAAAACTTAAGCATGAGATAATCAAATCTTCTGAAAAGAACAAGGAAAAGTTGTTTGTCTTTTGCCTTCCCTCGTCTTCAAACGATCATTTTGAAACATCATAATCCAGTTTTGATCATTAATGGAAATCTTAATTAATAATTACACTGAAAACATACTAGATATTGGACTTATACAGGCCCAGATGTCAGTTATAACATACATACCATAGAATGAGGTCATTGGGTACATGTGCATTAATATCAGTTTATCAAATTACCAGTATAACTTTGCAGTGCAGTTTAATTGGTCCCTTTGTTTTATGAGGTACTCATATTACTGCCTGATACAGGCTCTAGCCATTGAGTCACTCTTTATTAAGAAAATGACTCATGTGTCTTTCAGCATTTAACTGAAATCTGATATGGTAAATTGCAATTACCATTGTTTAATTATTCTGTTAAATAATTGTACATGTATATCTATGTTTACTGCGGTTACACCTCTGAT